AGACGAAAGAAAATTAGAAGGCTTCAGGTTTCGCAGGTTTTCACTAACCCACTTTCCATATGGGTTATATGATGCAACCCGCTTCTTCACTTCTGTGTTCTCATATACCTGAAATTCACATATTAATAATGGTATGCAACAGAAACAAAATATTATGTATCAGAGTGTCTGAAAATAAAGAAAACGATCGACTCTGATCTGGTGCACCAACCTGCCCACTTTCTAAGTCAACAGATATCATCATGCCAGGTCCTAGACGACCCTTCATGGTGACTTTCGATTCATCCATTGGAAGAACTCCGACCTGTATAAAGGCATGAGTTAGCAACTTTCTGCATCCAAGATATAAACACAATTTGATAACAGAGCCCCTGTATATTCTAACCAATTCTTTATCTTGATTTGCAAAGTATAAACTCGACTTCTAAAGAAAACACTTGATTTCCTCTCAAGGGGATTCAAAACACTCCTAGATTAAATGATCATCAAGAAACTATTTTATACCCGGCCATCGTATCTCAAAAACCAGTTGGCATAGCTATGTCAAGAAAGAAAAACGAAGAAACATTCAAAGTGATTAAACGAATTGGTTTTCTGACCTGTCAGGAACAAAGCTTTAAGATTCAAGCATAAGCCCAATCATCTGCTGGCAATCATTACCACCATGCTTAGATAAAGACCAAGTACATAGAGTAAAGGACAAAACGCACCTCAGAGGCTACATAGACAACATTATCACTTGTCCGCCAATATCTAGCAGGCCGAAGTCCATTGCGGTCAAGGCAAGCTCCAACAGTCTTTCCATCACTGTACCAAAAAAGTCAGGGTGATGAAGTTTGGACTATGAAAGCAGACTCAAGAAATGTGACAGAGTTGCTAGCTAAATTAGCTACCACGTTTGGTGAAAATTGTTCTCCAGTTGTCAATGCGTACAAGCCTTCTAGAACAACTATAGGTACTCAGTATTCTTAGTTAAATTTCAGAGGATTAAAGGCAGCTGAAAGCTTAATCTTACGCGCATGACTATGTTTTCAAGGGTAAGAAATCTTCGAGAAAATTACCTGAACAATACCAATGCAGGTCCATCCCAGGGCTCCATTTGGCCTTTGTAATAATCATAAAAGTCTGCAGCCTACCGTTGGAAAGCATGTAAGAGACGCACTTGCAAGTATCCACAAATATTATTAAAAAAAAACACTAAACCGTACCTCAGGGTATTTAATCATTAAGGTCGGGTGATTTTTATATGCCTCTGGCACAAGAATCATAAGAGATTCCTCTGGAGTCCGGCCACTTCTTATCAAAAGCTGCACAACCTCAATAATATAAATACACTGAACTCTAGCAGCAATAACAACAAGTCTACAATTTACGGCCTTGAGGTTATTCTGAAGAGTGTCTAACTGTATATACTTAAAAACAGAAGTTGGTTAGATGACGCTTACTTCCGCTGCACTGTCAAGGTTAGCGGAGTCTGAAGCCTTTTTATTGCTAATTGGACGAATATCATTTTCACGTCCGTGCCAAACAGGTGATCTTAGAGATGCTTCTCGAGATGTCATCCAGTTTAGGTTCCCCTGCAAAACTTGTTTGGTTTCACTGAGAGGTCCTAGCTTAAACTTAGATTCAACAAACCTATCGACCAGAAGAGAAGTATAACCTGTATGGTATTGATCTCCCCATTGTGTCCAAGAAACCTCATTGGTTGAGCAAGAGGCCATCTGGNACTAGTATTTGTGCTAAATCTTCGATGATAGATGGCAAAAGCAGTTTTATAAAGATCGTTTTGAAGGTCCGTGTAAAATAACCCAAGAACTTCTGAACGAAGCATGCCCTTGTAAACAATGGTCTGGTTGGACAAGGAGCTGAAGTAGAGCTCAGAGGCCCAACTTTCAGAAGCAACTGCTCTTTCGATCAGCTTCCTGCAAATGTAAAGCTCTCGTTCAACGTCATCTACTTTATCTTCTTTGACAATTCTAACAAAGACCTGTTCCGTTTTTGGCATTGTCTCTTTTGCATAATGACCGACAATGGAAGGTTCTACAGGAACATCCCTCCATCCAAGCACCTCCAGGCCCTCTTTCTCGAATAAACTTGTAACCACTGGAGAGAAATTGCAAACATAATTTAGCAAGGAAGATATTACAGGTTATACAAAAAACATAAATTAGCTTGGAGTAGACACCAGAGCTCCAGTCTAGGTCACAATCAATATGCATAAAAACTATTCGAGGTTCACCTTTTTTTGCTTCTTTCCTAATGTTTTCGTCTCTCGGTAGGAACAGCATTCCAACACCCGTATGCTGCTTATCAAAAGAAGCTATTCCTTGCTTCTTAGTCCAATCGTTAAATAGATCCCAAGGAATGGAAGTCATCA